CATGGGGAAACAAGGGGGCACTGAGACATTGTGATACATAGGGACACTGTGATACATAAAAGACATGGGGACATGAGGAGACACTGAAACACATAGGGGACACAGACACTAGGGGATACTGGGAGACATGAGGACACTGGAAGACTAGGGGACACTAAGACAATGGGAGACACTGGTAACAATCCATCTTTTATTCAGCAGAATAAATGTGAGTAGTTTTTTTGGTGATTTTACAGAATTTTCTCTTAGGTCACTCCTTGTGATTTACACGCATACATAATTAATTATGCAAATTAGTAAGGCCGGTATTTTTTTCCAAGAAAGGTGGCAACCCTAACTATCCTTCACATACTCTTGCTTAAGTATGGAAACTTTAAAGGGATGTATGGTGAACAAAACTTATGCGGACTGGCTGACAATGAAATTAGTTAAGGTAAAGCTGACTTTGTGCACAATGCAAATGATCTTGCTGCTTCAGTCTCTCTAACACTATGACATGTTCCTTTTCTTCTACACTCACTACATGCAGCTGTTCTCTGTCCCAGACTATATACCAGGAGCTTCTGCCTGCTAGTAAGAAGGTTAGGAGAGGAATGGACCAGCGAGTGCTAGGGAACAGTCCTTAGAAATCGTGGAGCGAACTCATCGTTAGACACATTTTTGCATGATTGTCAGGCACCCTGACATGCATTCATGCCAGGCTGGCCTTCCAATTCATTAGGCAGACACGCCCGCTTTTTATGGCATGTTCGCCTTTTTCGGCAGTTCTGATTACATGATTTGCGTCAGTGGCCCACCCTTATTCCCAGTCCTGCTTCACTGGACACTGCTGTTAGGGGTATGGATTTACTTGAAAGATGAAAGCATAAATTAGAGAATGATTAGCATAGAGTGTGTGTTTTCTCATAGCTGCACCCTATGAATTTCCCTTCAGCACCACTTCCGCCAGATACATGACGATTGGTAGTTATGACTGTTTAAGTGTTTTTGGTCGATAAGATTCTGTAATTAGGCCCATCATAATTGTCAGCACCAGGCCCACTTGGCTCTTAATCTAGCCCTGGATGCAATGGTGAAGTTAGACATGTTGTCACCTGCGGCAGAAACTCAGTTTAGCTGCCCTTATCTTTCCTTTCAAGTGCCGGCAGCAGGTGTAAGCTAGGATTAACGAGATCCCAGAATGCACCTGCCAACCGGCTTCTAAATAGATTGTGTTGTGTTTAAGGGACACTACTTGTGGGCTTTGTGAGTTGTGCTTATGGTGAAGTTGTGTTTCATATGTTGGAGGTGACTTTATGTTGATCACTAACTTCTAGGGATGACTGTGATAGGGTGAGGGTGTAAGTGTGACAGGATGAGGAGTTAGAGTGTAACAGTGTTTGGGGATGAATGTGAGAGTTTAGGCATGGGTGAATGTGGCAGGGTGAAGGGATGAATGTGAATGGGGTGGTTAAACGTAGTAATGCCTGAGTAGTAATGCCTATTTTTGAATATATTTGCCCTCCTCTTGCTTACCTTACAAATATTTACAGGGGACTGGGGGGATGAGAGGAACTTGGATTATCTGGGGGTTATGTATCAGAAGTGATGTGTTCCCCCACACACACTATGGCCTCTTTCCACGTGGACACACACTAGAGCCTCTGTCTCCCCATGCACTACCTCCCCTATTCAGACAACATACATTACAGAACCTAAACACAGGGCCGTCTTTAATATTGATTGGACCCTGGGCAAGCATCTGCTTGGGCCCCCTGGGCATGCAATCACACCCTCCACCCCAACCTAGAGGCGAAACTAATGTAGAGAGTGCCTTGGTGCAAAAAAATAAAATAATTCAGGCCTGCCCTGTAGCACAAGAGTAAAGAAAAGATAGATCCCCATCTGTCATACAACTCCTGCGATGCTATGCCAGGTGGGGATCTACCATCCTTGCAGGGTTGTATTTTTGAGCAGTGTTTGTGCAATTGAATGTCAGCATGTTATTGTATAGAGTGTATGTGTGCATGTAGGGGTGTATTTGTATGTACTGTTACCATTGGAATGCAGTGGTGTACTTGTGTGTAGTGTTTGCGTTTGAATGCAGTAATGTGTGATTGTCTGTAGTGTTGGCTTTTAAATGCAGGTGTACTTTTGTGTGTAGAGTTGGTGTTTGTATATAATTTTAGCGTTTTAATACAGGAATGTGTTTGTATGTAATGTTTGTATTTGCATGCAGGGGGTTGTTTGGATGTAGTGTTGTGTACATTTGTGTGTAGTATTGGTGTTTCAGCAAACTGGTGTGTTTGTATGTAATGTTTGTGTTTGCAGGGCTCTGTTTGCATGTTGTGTGATTTCTATAACACATATACACATACACATTAACACGCAGATACACACATAGGCACACTGACACATGCTCACACCTTGACACATACTGGCACATACACACACACACTCAGATACACACCCTTTGACACACAGATACAAGCACTTTGATACACACACACACTGGCACATCCACACACAGAGGTACACACACACACTGACACAGGTATGTACACACACACTCAGATACACACATACATAAAGGTATAAATGCAGGGGTGTATATGTGTACAGTGCTAGAGATGGAGTGTATTTGTGTTGGCATTAAAATGCTGGGATGTATGCATTACCACACACTCAGATACACACTTACACACACTGACACACACACACACACACACAGGTACACATACACACTGACACACAAGTACACATACACAGGTATACATACACACAGAAACACTGACACACAGACAAACACAGCCAGATACAAACACTGACACAAACACAGCCAGATACAAACACTGACACAAACACAGCCATATACACACACTGACACAAACACAGCCAGATACACACACACACACAGATACACACACACATATATGTGTACATTTACATATTTTAATCTCTGCCTTCTAGCAGCTCTTGGACAGCAACTCCCTGCAACCTTGGCCAATATAATGTCTCAACTCTGTTCTTACATACCCTGGTCCAGAATTTGGCAAAAGTGACATTTGGAAATGGTATACAGCCTTTGATAACACTTGATGCAATAATATGTTAAAATAAATACTTTTAAAATTTATATTTAATAGGGAACTGTCAGGTTATTCTAGGATTTTTAACATGTACTTATTCCCTGTGTGTTACATTACAAACACCAACACTTGAATAAAAGTGATATCAGAAATAAGCAAAACAAAAAAACAAAACATATTTAGCCACCCTCCTGTCTCCTTACCTTTTGGGTACAGAAAGGTGGCTTCCCTGGGGTCCAGTGGGAGCTTGTTGGCCCAGGCTGATGGGAGTCTGCCATCAGCTTTCTCAGTCCCTCTCCCCAACAATGCTTGCATCCTCCTCCGTGTGGTGTGTGCCTCCTCCCCAGCGGCACTGAGGAGGAAGTGATCTGACCTCACTTCCTCCCAGCATGCCACGGAGAAGAAAAGGGATCACAGGGCAGTGTGTGAGGGGCTAGCTGTGTGTTTGTATTCAGCCAATCCCCATATTACAAGGGCCCAGTCCAGAGCAGTATTAAAGGGCTGTGGCCCCTGATTCCCTCAGGTGCTGCAGGGGGCCCATGGGGCAGCTGCCTTAGGGCCCCTAGGAGTAACTGGGCCCGGGGCAGCTGCCCCTTTTGCCCCTCCTTAAAGACGGCCCTGCCTAAACACATACTACACCACAAATATCCGTTGGCAAAAAACAGCCACGTCTACATACACGCAACCCCTCAATCTGTATCCCATCCACATACAAAGTCGACAAGCAGCAACCCAACCATATGCAGCTTTTGTATCAACACAAGAAACTTTCCCAACACCGCAGGTAGCCTACCCCTCACACAACCTTACAGGTAGCCTGCTTACCCCCTCCCCCCCCCACCATACCCACACACACACACACACACAACACCTGTCTTTCACACATTCCTGTCTCTCGGAATCCTCCAAGAATATATAATAAATAGTAGAATTATAACATCAGTAACTTCAGAAGGAGATATACGCCACCAAAATGGGCTCTGAAACATTATGACCCGTATGCAGAGACCTTGTCATGCCTTGTATGACAGTGTACCTGTGTGTATAGTGTTTATAACTGTGTACTTGTATGTCTGTGCTTATATGACTGTGTCTGTATGTTTGTGTCTTTGTACATGTATGTATTTTTGACTTTGTCTCTATGTTTGTGTGCCTTTATGACTGTGTGCCTGTATATCTTTGTGCCTGTGGGGCTGTAATCTCTCTGTCTGCATGTTTGTGTGCCTGAATAACTATGTCTGTGTGCCTTTATGATTGAATATCTGTATGTTTGTGTCTTTGTGCATGTATTTTGCTTTTTGCCTGGATGTCTATGTCTGTGTGTATGTGTGATTGTGTGCCTGGATGTGTGTATCCTATATGATTTGCATCTGTATGACTTGAATAATTGAGAAAAAAGCAAGTAAACATATGGAAATAAATTTGTGTGAAAAAATAATCAATGTTTGCACATTTATTTACGTGGTGGTGGGGGGATGTTCGCACTGGTGTTCTTTGTTCATTAGTTCCAAAACTGGGCAGGGGGACGAACACAGCAAGAAAAGAAGGCCATATGGCGGCTGGTCGCACTTTGTGAGAGCGCCACACTCAATTCCTGAAAAACTCCTAAAATACCACTCCCTGATGCAAAGCCACCGTGACTTATGACCTGCCTGTGTGTAGAGCCTACAGGGGTGCCTAAGACTGTAGTTGATATGTACCTATTATTGTGTACCCCAGAGGTTTGAGTGAGGCCTAATGGGCCCATTAACCGAGAGAGGCGGCTGCTCTCTTGGGGCGTGCTATACTGCTTACTAGCAGGCATTCTGCATCTGTAGGGTCCTGTTTCTCCCCCCCCCTCTGGATCGGTGGGAATGATCCCGGTTCACCCCTTAGAGGAGACCCTGCTGACCATGACACGTCAGGTGATATCAGGAAAGCAGATTGCCGGCAATGGCGGACACCATGTGCTCTCCCAGGTGCAGGGACATTGAGACCAAGCTGGACAGCATATCTGCTGCCTTCTGGGAAAAACTCGCAGTCAGAAAGAAACAAGCCCTCGAGCTGGGAGCAAGAGGTTACTTACTGAGGCATCCACACTCCCAGCGCAGATACGAAGCTCTCAAGGTTAAGGGAGCCCGCAAATGGTGGCAGAAGAGACAACAGTTCTTATCTGGTTGTAAATCTACACATCCGACTTCGGAAGCAGCTGGGCTCCACCACAGCAGAGTGGCAACTCACCCTGATCCCTGCTACCAGCCACGAGGTCTCCAAAGAGCCAAAATGCTGAATCACTCTGGGTTCAGATGTCACTAGGGAGAACCTTTCAGACATCATTGAGCCTGCCATACACTCTTCACTTGCCCATCTGTCTTCATTCTGCTGGGCTGCCGGGCCAGATAAAAAGACTCTCATGGCTGGACTCTGTATTACCCCAGTGGGGAATCGGCTGACCTTGGGACAAAGGTTTAAAACTTACCATGAATGGCATCACAACATTACACCCATTGTTACTTTAAGACACGTCGAGCATATTTCTGTGGGGTTTTTTTTGTTTTGTTATTTTCTTCATTGTGAGGCACGCATTTAGCTTACCTGGGGGGCCCCCTAGGGGTTTAATTTCACTTTAAGTCACTCTCCGTGCCAATGACTTGCCTTTTGTAACCCTAAGGTTAACAGTAACCTGTACATTGTTTTTCGTGCCTTTACTACTGTTACAATCATGTGTCATTATTAAACCATCATGCCACTTCTGCTATTCCCCCCTGCTCAGTGGCGGACTAAAGGGGGGGCGGAGGGGGCGGTCTGCCCCGGGTGCCACCTGGTAGGGGGGTGCCTTGACCCTGGTCTTGGGGCTGTGCCCCATGGCAGCTGGGGTGTCACACAGCTCACACGGAGAGACCACCAAGATAAACTGGCCGCATGGGAGGAAGAAGGGGGAGGAGCTACTGATATTTGGGGGCGGAGCCTAAACGCGAGCAGGGGCTGCTGTTAATGCTGCACATGGAGGTGCAGCAAGAAGAAACACCTGCACCTCCACCTACCAGGCTCTAGGGAAGGACTTCAATGAATCCACTCCTCCAGCCCACACTGTAAGTAAGTATAAGAGTGTGTGTGTGTGTGTGTAACTGCCTGAAACTGTGTGTGTGTGTGTCTGTCTGTAACTGTCTGTAACTGTGTGTGTGTGTGTGAAACTGTGTGTGACTGTCTGTCTGTAACTGTGTGTGTGTCTGTCTGTAACTGTGTGTGTGACTGTCTGTGTGTCTGTAACTGTACGTGTGACTGTCTGTAACTGTACGTGTGACTGTCTGTCTTGTGTGTGTCTGTAACTGTGTGTGTGTGTAACTGTCTGTCTGTAACTGTGTGTATGTGTGTGTAAGTGTCTGCCTGTAACTGTGTGTGTGTGTGTGTGTGTAACGGTCTGCCTGTAACTGTGTGTATGTGTGTAACTGTGTGTGCGTAACTGTCTACCTGTAACTGTGTGTGTTTGTGTGTGTGTGTGTGTGACTGCATGCCTGTAACTGTGTGTCTGTGACAGTCTGCCTGTGACTGTGTGATGCTGCCTGTAACTGTGTGTTACTGTCTGCCTGTGACTGTCTGCATGTAACTTTGTGCGTGACTGCCTGTAACTGACTGTGTGTGTAACTGCCTGTAACTGTGTGTGTTTGTGGCTGTAACTATGTGTATGACTGTCTGCCTGTGACTGTGTGTGTGACTGTATATGTGACTGTCTGCCTGTAACAGTGTGCGTGACTGTGTGTAACTGCTTGTAACTGACTGTGTGTGTGTGTGTAACTCTCTACCTGTAACTGTGTGTATGACTCCCTGTGACTATATGTGTGACTGTCTGCATGTGATTGTGTGCGTGTGAATGTCTGCTTGTAACTGTGTGTGACTGGTGCAGGGATTTTGTAGAGGGGGCAGGGGTTTTAAAAAGTTTACAAATTTGATCAATACATTTTTAAAAAAATGTTAAAGATATAACACATTTAAAAAATGTAGTATTTTTTTTTTGGGGGGAGAAGCGGGGGGGTGCCAAACCCAGGACCCGCCCTGGGTGCCACATGCCCTAGGTACGCCCCTGCCCCTGCTAAAACCAGCTGCCTCCCTGCGCTAGAAATTGGGTAAGGTTCCCTTATACAATGGGCCCTGGCTTGAGAAGCCCTTATTTTTGTTTTTAGCGGCCTTCATTTAGCCATGCAATTGTATTTTCCTCACTTTTCATTAATTTTGGCATATGTTTTTTCACACTCATGCATTATTCTGGTTATGGTACTGGTAGACACAGTCCCAGTAGTAAAAGTTTACTGTTAAGCATGCTGGCATTTAATCCTCTTTACAATAAGCTAAATGCATAACAGCTCGACCTTGATTCATGTGGTATAAACAAAGAGCACTGTTATTTTTTCATGTTACCTTGTTTTAGTTTAATTTAAAATGAGACCTCACTATACCACTATAGTTACCCAAGCATGTTTACTCACACATATGACCACCCTTAACATGTCTTAAGTTTTCCGTATGCCGTGCTTCTCACTTATCCCACTACATGTTTGGCTGGCATGATTGTTACTACTTTACATATATACCTTTTCTAAAAAAATAAGCATTTCCTCTTGACATTTTGTGCTCAAACTGTAAACCTGTATACAATCGTTTTACGATGCAACATATGTCAATGTCATATAGTGTATATCTCAATGCATTACAAAAATAAAGAATTAAAAAAAATAAAAAAGAAAGAAAGAAAAGCAGGCCAATTCTACACAGCTCGACCATGCTAAACAGTAAAAGAAGAAGGAAATAGTAATTAAAGGACCTTCAAAGGAACCCAGACCACTTCATCTATTCATCCGTCTTTTCTATCTTAATGTCCATCTTTTCTAGGAGCTCTATATTGTTAGTGTGTTTCAGTGTACAACAGAGCTTCACAGCAATAATACTCACACTACAGTAATGTGTTCTTATTCCAAATTAAATTTTATTAGCTCTTATAGTAAGTCAACTAAAATATTCTCAGAACAACCTGCCCCTGGCCACACCCCCACTCACACCTCTAAAATTATAGTGTCCCTCTTTTTCCATTTAAAATTTTGGGATGTATGAACATCATTTAACCTCTTCAACCAATGTTATTTGTCCAGTGTAATTACAAAGAAATATATTTTGCACATCTGCAATTTAAAGATTTAAATTTTTACGTTTTCATGCTCTAATGAAAAATTCCAGTCTCGGACATACTTAATATTTATATGTGTGTTTTGATTGCAAGTTCTGCAGTCAGGATCCCATTCCCCTCTCTACATTTTATGTGTTTCATGTATTTGCTGTGCATCCTTGAACACCCTATCAAGAATTGTAATGTATATGGCAAACTTGGTTTTATTTAAGACCTACTCTAGTTATAAAATTACCTTTTAATGAACCACAATGCAGAAAAAGCATTATAAAATAAAATACTTTAAAGAATTACTGCAGTCCTTTTAGGGGGTTCTTTTTATTTAAATTCCCTAAATGGTACTACTAATTAGCCCCCACTGCATTTTGCAGTAACAGCAGCAAAAAAGGATTTTTACTCACCTGGAATCCAGCACCGAGTGAAGCTCCCAGAGGTGCCTTCCATGCTTCTACCAGACATTACCAAACACCTCACGCTGTCCAATTTCAAGAGTGTCATACAGGGAGTGCAGAATTATTAGGCAAATGAGTATTTTGACCACATCATCCTCTTTATGCATGTTGTCTTACTCCAAGCTGTATAGGCTCGAAAGCCTACTACCAATTAAGCATATTAGGTGATGTGCATCTCTGTAATGAGAAGGGGTGTGGTCTAATGACATCAACACCCTATATCAGGTGTGCATAATTATTAGGCAACTTCCTTTCCTTTGGCAAAATGGGTCAAAAGAAGGACTTGACAGGCTCAGAAAAGTCAAAATAGTGAGATATCTTGCAGAGGGATGCAGCACTCTTAAAATTGCAAAGCTTCTGAAGCGTGATCATCGAACAATCAAGCGTTTCATTCAAAATAGTCAACAGGGTCGCAAGAAGCGTGTGGAAAAACCAAGGCGCAAAATAACTGCCCATGAACTGAGAAAAGTCAAGCGTGCAGCTGCCACGATGCCACTTGCCACCAGTTTGGCCATATTTCAGAGCTGCAACATCACTGGAGTGCCCAAAAGCACAAGGTGTGCAATACTCAGAGACATGGCCAAGGTAAGAAAGGCTGAAAGACGACCACCACTGAACAAGACACACAAGCTGAAACGTCAAGACTGGGCCAAGAAATATCTCAAGACTGATTTTTCTAAGGTTTTATGGACTGATGAAATGAGAGTGAGTCTTGATGGGCCAGATGGATGGGCCCGTGGCTTGATTGGTAAAGGGCAGAGAGCTCCAGTCCGACTCAGACGCCAGCAAGGTGGAGGTGGAGCACTGGTTTGGGCTGGTATCATCAAAGATGAGCTTGTGGGGCCTTTTCGGGTTGAGGATGGAGTCAAGCTCAACTCCCAGTCCTACTGCCAGTTCCTGGAAGACACCTTCTTCAAGCAGTGGTACAGGAAGAAGTCTGCATCCTTCAAGAAAAACATGATTTTCATGCAGGACAATGCTCCATCACACGCGTCCAAGTACTCCACAGCGTGGCTGGCAAGAAAGGGTATAAAAGAAGAAAATCTAATGACATGGCCTCCTTGTTCACCTGATCTGAACCCCATTGAGAACCTGTGGTCCATCATCAAATGTGAGATTTACAAGGAGGGAAAACAGTACACCTCTCTGAACAGTGTCTGGGAGGCTGTGGTTGCTGCTGCACGCAATGTTGATGGTGAACAGATCAAAACACTGACAGAATCCATGGATGGCAGGCTTTTGAGTGTCCTTGCAAAGAAAGGTGGCTATATTGGTCACTGATTTGTTTTTGTTTTGTTTTTGAATGTCAGAAATGTATATTTGTGAATGTTGAGATGTTATATTGGTTTCACTGGTAATAATAAATAATTGAAATGGGTATATATTTGTTTTTTGTTAAGTTGCCTAATAATTATGCACAGTAATAGTCACCTGCACACACAGATATCCCCTAACATAGCTAAAACTAAAAACAAACTAAAAACTACTTCCAAAAATATTCAGCTTTGATATTAATGAGTTTTTTGGGTTCATTGAGAACATGGTTGTTGTTCAATAATAAAATTAATCCTCAAAAATACAACTTGCCTAATAATTCTGCACTCCCGGTAGAGTGATTGGGCTGTTTCACGGGGCATCCGTGCGCTGGCGAAGGGAGGTAGGGAGGGATGGAAAACACTTTAAAA